TTTGTTGTACGCAATAGTCGCTTAAAAAGTTGCCAGCAACAACAAATATACAGTACAAGGGTTTTGAGTACCTTTTTTTGTTGACTAAATATTATGATTGAAATTTCCATCATCATGCAAAGAAGGGTTAAACCTATCTATGGTTAGGTAGATCCATAGAAGAAGAACAGGATGCCTATAAAAGTGCAGGAGTTATCTACTGGTCTGACTAAAACGAGATTATTCTACTTGGAGAAAGACGTTCAACGAGTTGAGAGCTGTGATAATTCGAGAAAATACGACTTCTTCTTCTTCTCTCTTTCTCTTTCTCTTTCTTTCTCTTTTCTTGTCCTCAATGTTCAGTACATCGTTTAAAATATACTTTTAATTAACGTATTCTCGTAAGGCACATTTCAAGGAAGACAGAACAAATAAGTATATTCTGACGTTTACTAAACGCAACTGCGCGTGTTGAAAGTAAAAAAAAAAAGAGAGAGAGAGAGAGAAATAAAGAAAGAAAAAAAAATAAAGAGAAAGAGAGAGTGTGTAAGAGAGAACTCGAGAATTTTTACAAGCCTCGTCGCTACGTTTAAACGAAGATCAGAATTTATACGCTTGTTAAAATACTCGCGTTACTTTTTGTCCACGTAACACGCCCAAGGTACATTACAAGATTTCTTTAAATTAAAGAACCGTACGCGGGAATGACTTGTACAAACATATGTTTGTATGTATGTATGTATATTTGTGTGAAAAAAAAAAAATATATATATATATACGTTTACAAATGTTCGTGAATTTTTATTGAATACATTAGACCGTATTAAAATAAGGTATATCATTAAACGTATGCAATTTAATGAAATTCATTTGATTACTCATGATAAGAGACTCAGATGTAACTTTATGTACCATAATCAAAGCAAGCATATCTACATGTACTTTCTATATACACGTATACAATAAAAATGAAACTAATACCCGTGCCATATTCACCGTCCTAGATCTAAATTCGATGTATAAAAGGTAAAATATAATTTGACGTTTCGTTGAGATATGTTTCTCGATGAATAACGAACATGTATGATCAGCCATAAGGATCGATGGAAATAAGACTTTCTCTTTTTTTGTGAAAAAAAAATTGTTAAAAATTGAATACAAGGATAAGCTGTTCGAATGCACATCTCTTCTTGACTTATAATAATTAAATAAATGAATTAAAAAACGCGAATCAACGTTTTAGAATAAATCATAATTGAAAATTATCTCAATAAATTTGTATTCTTGATTTACAGTATATATTGCCATAATTTATTTAATTTTGTTTAGATCGATAATAAGATTCATGAAATTCATCGAATTATTGAGAATTTCATTTTTGAATTACTACTGTTATTATTTTATGGAAAATATGATAAATACAAAAAATACGTGGTGAGGAATAAATAATAATATGTTCGCGAGAGTGTAATCCATGAAAAGCATTGTTTGTCGTAGGAAACTTTCATTTCCTACGATGTAAACGTTAAAAGTCGTCGTTCCATGGGTTTTAACGTTATTCAATCCACGTGAAAAGGTTTTCCTCGTGGCGAGTCTCGCTACCGTCCGATTTTCTTCTCGGCTAGGTAGATTACTATGCTGGAAATGGAATGTTTCTCTTCTCTCTCTCTCTCTCATCCATTTTTTTTTATATTTTTCTTCTTTTTCCAAGTCTTTCTTTTTACGGACAACTACAAAACGCCGTGCCGTGTTCTTCCTTCTTCTTTCATTGCGCATGAATATCGAGAAAAAACAAAAATGTAGACAATTGAAAAGACGAGAATGATATACATATATATATATATATATATATTTTACATCTACAAAGAGAAAAAGAAGAAGAAAAAGGACGAAACACTTAAAATCGTAAAATTAATCTCATCTTAAACTTATGAAAGTAAAGGAAAGTAATCTTCTCAACTAAAAAAACGGGCCATACGAATCGTAAAAAGTCCATCACCAACGATGAACGAAGATGACGAAAAGAAGGGGATTTAAAACAAAAAAAAAATAGAAAAGAATAAAACGAGACAACAAACAAACAAACCAACCAACAAACAAACAAACGGAACACGTCCCTCGCGTAGACTCAATAAATGCAACATTTTCGAAAGAACATTTTTAGCTAGGTATATAAATATAAATATAAATATATACACATATATATATATAAATACACGCACGTGAAAAGAAAAAAAAAGAAAAAAAAATACATATAAAGCTCGGAAAAGCCGCTTAGAGATATGATAAAAGTACTGTAAAAGGAATTCAAGCTCTTTCCGCGAACGAACTACCCTTCCCAACGCGTTAATTGTAATGGTATTAATTACGATAATGGAGAGACATTCTTTTCCGTCTTTGTTTGTCCTCTTTTACCTTTTCTCCTTCCCCCTCCCATTCCCCCCTCCTCTCTCTCTCTCTCTCTATCTATTTATTCATTCGTCTCCCTTGCGGCAAAAGAAGTACGGCATCAATTAAGTAGATATTTCAAACGAAAAATTCTAATAAGCTTGTGGAACGACATCTTCTGTCAAGCGTGTATCTCATCCAAAGAGAATAAAATAATAAAAGAATAAAAGAAAGAAAGAGAGAGAGAGAGAGAGAAAATCGTGGGTGCAGGTGCAGGTGCAGGTGCACTCAGGTGAATTCGAAGCCAAAGTCACCCAGGATGGATGGATGGGTGTTATTTTTTCTTTTTTTTATCTTTTCCTTTCTTTTCCCATCGACACCATACGGTAGCAGCGAGTACCACTCGAGTTATACATTCGATCGAGATGAACTCTCTCATAAGGTAAGAAGGGGGGGAGATAGAAAGGAATAGGGAAGGGTTTTTAGAAAGAGAGAGAGAGAGAGAGATAAATTCCCTTGAAGTCCCAGTAGTCGGTGATACTTTCAACGCATTGGCAGAGGGTTAAAAAGAAAAGGAAAAAAAATATAAGAACGGGGAAGGTAGATAGGTACCGTGTGACGAGGGTGAATAAGTGGAAATATTTCCAAAAAGGCAAGTGGGAAGCCCATTGTTTCGAGAGTAGGGCTCGAACGAAAAAAACTTTTGTTCGGTCCCTTTGTCAGTTTGAATTTGTATAACGAACAGAACTCTGACACAGTTGAAAGAGATATGATAGGAAAGAAAGATAAGGGACGGATAGGAATGTTGAGAAAAAAATAAGGAAGAATTAGTTAGGATTCTGAGTGTCAATTGCTATCTCCGGTCTTCTGTTTTTTCTATCGGAAATCAGAATAAATAATTAGATAAGATAAGTTCAAAGTTATCTAATGTTACGATGGTATATGTCGAGTTTTGATTAAAAACAAAAGTGTGATAAAATGAATATTACGTTGGATTATTAATCGTTTCTCAAATGATTTGGATTTTTTGAATAATTTGTTCTCTCTCTCTCTCTCTCTGGTTTTCGAAATGTTTTCTAAAAAAAAGTTACGTTAAGTTACGTTTCTTCAGGTTCCTCCGATGTTTCTAATAACGAATCTAGAACATAACTGTCGAGATTATGTTATTAACGGGCTGCGGAATCGTGGCGCTTTTCAAAATGATATAACTTATCGGTATATTACTATTATGCGATCGTTAAAAGCGAAGAACGATGGGCTGCCATAAAACGGAATTAACTAGGTACAACGGTTAATTGGGCCATTCGTCATTATTACCATAATGCCTTGCGATATTAACTCAGATTTAACATCTAAAATCGTCGCCAACCGTTCGTTCGTTCATTCGTTCGTTCATTCGTTCATCGAATGATTCATCGTATTATCACAAATACGTCTATGTTTATTGTATGGGTAAACCTAATCGGATTTTTTCAATTTCTTATTTTCTTTGCAATTCTATTTGTTACTTATTTATTTTATCTTATGGTTTTCATCGATTAATATTCCGTATTTCGTATCTTCTTGTTATTTTCACACCTCAGATATCCTGATGCAACAACCCCTTGTACAAACCTGACATCCAGAAACGATATCAACGATCATGCAAGTATCTATTCCATGGAGAGGTTGGAAAACGATAAAGGAGGATATACGTGTCGTCGCAATTTCAACACCATCGTATAACTGACGCAACGTGAAACGTGCATGATCCAAAAGTGAGTTTACGATCTTGCCCAAAGACGACAACGACGACAACGAAAGCACGTTATTACCCCAACGAGGTATGTCCAACCGAAACGCGCATATAAATTTCTATAACCCTATGTGATTTTATTATAGACATAAAAATTGATTATAGTCATTCTTCACAGAGAGAGAGACATATAAAAATATCCCCATAAAGAAATTTCTGTAATAAAAAATTTTCTCGTTACGTAAAGTTAATTTTAAAAATCGATCTTACTTATATATATTTATTTTTGAAAACAAAAATAAATTACGTCATTTAAAAATCATATTTTAAATTAATCACTTAATAAAAATTTAATAATTATCATTTCTCAAAATTATTAATCATTCCTTATTTAATTCGATGTTAGCGTGTTTCAAATGAATTATTGTTCTCGTCATGACTATGAGTAGTAATTAAAATAACAAAAAGAAAATGTATTAATAAATAATAATAGCTTGGAAAGAAAAAAAAGTACGTTAAAAAGTTTTTTCTTTTCTTAATGTCATCATTAACACTACTACTAATTCACGTCATGCTATGTGATCGACGATTAATTTGGATACAATATATTACGATAGATAGATCATCATCATCATCATCTTTAGAAAGAACAGCCATTAGCGTTCGCGCGTGAAAGCGAAGTGGTCGTTCATTCATGAACTCGTCTGACAACATCGTAGACTCTTACTACTGCTACTACTAAACTACTACTACTACTACTACTACTACTACAACTATGAATACAATTAAAACTATTGTTATTATTATTACTATCAATGATACACTATACAAAGAAGCTTACTACTATTACTACTACCACTAACACTTTTACACTTCTCCAGCAATACCGTTTGCTCACCAACATCGGTTAAGCGTTATACCGCAAACCAGCACCACCATCACCACCACCAAGAGCACACTACCACCATCGAACAAAGTCCCGTAAAGGCGGCGCGTTCCTCGCGTTCTTATTCAAGAAGTTTCGAATAATCTCTACACACACGAAAGGGGGGTGGGGTGGAGTGGGGGGAGGGGGCTTCTTAGATTCTCTCTCTCCTATTGTCGAATCCCGCCAAAATTTCAATCATTTTTCCCATACTTCGAGAAATCGTAGGAGTACATTTTATTTTTTTTATTTTTTTTTTACACTTCTCTCAACTCTCTCTCTTTCTCTCTCTCTCTCTCTCTCTCTCTCTCTCTCTTTCTATCTAATTTCTTTGTTAACACGAAATATATTTAAATAAGTAAAAGGGGTGTTGTTATGCGAACGATGACCCTTTAAATGTTCTAAAAAAAGAATATCGACGCGATATCGATTACAGTGCACCTCGTTACCACGATTCTTTCCTATAGGACATTTTTCTTCGCGAGATTAACGAGATTCTTTTTTTCCCTATACCGGGGGGCATGGTCCCACCACCCTCCCTAACTTCCCATTTTTGTTTCCACCACCACCACCACCCAGCCCCCCTTCACCAATTTTCTTTTTGTTTTTTCCTCCCCGTTTCCTTTCATTTCTTTTCTTTTCGTTTCTTTTTATTCCCTCGTTTCTCATAAATAAAAAAAAAGAGAAAATAAAAACGAATCGACGATTCTATTATTCTCGTATAGTATCATTGTGTGTGTGTGTGTGTGTGTGTGTTGGCCAAAAGCTATGAGAAGAAAAAAGTATACCCGGGGTGAGAGAGAGGGGAAGAGGCATGGAAACACTGTCAAACCACCATTAATCACATGATTTTTCCCGAAAGAAATCCAAAAAAAAAAGAAGAAGAAGAAAAAAAAACAAGATTCCATTTTTGATAATCGAACAATGGGAACATCGACGAACACCCTCCGAAATGTTGATTAAATCGTAGACGATGGTTATATATAATAACGAGGGAAAATAATTCCTCCTCCCCTTCGACAAAAAAAAAGTTTTCAACACGTCACGGAGGACAAGGGGATGTATCATCGTTAAAAAAATAATAATAATAATAATAAAAAAAAAACAAGAAAATCATGAACAAACGAATCTAATGGATTTAAGTTCGTTGCTTTAACGCACTAACTTAGAAACCAAAGGCCACGTGGTTCGAGCGTTCACTATACCACCCTCTCCCTTCGAAGCTCGACGTTTTCTAATAACGACATAAAAGAGAAAGAGAGAGAGAAACAAATAGACAGACAGAAAGACAGACAGACAGTGTGATATATAAAAAATATTTGTCAAAGTATTCCACTAAAAATTCATTGACGAGATCACGAATCAACGTTCCTCTCTCTCTCTCTTTCTCTCTCGCATTGATTTCATCGATCTCTCGAAAAATCATCAACTCCCTCCTATTTTTTCTTTTATTACATTTGAAAATGATCGTAGATTTATTACAATAATAATTAAAATAATATATATGAAAAACAAAATGATCAAAAAGAGAAAATACGAGGAAATACAAACAAAAAATTAAAAAGAGTAAGAAAGTAAAAGAAAATAATGATAATGATGATGATGATGATTCGATGATCGTCGACATTGTTTTCGAATAAAATAACAAGAGAAAAAGAAAGAAAAAATAGAGAGAGAGAGAGAGAGAGAGACAAATTATATAGCAAAATTGTTGTTTCTCTCACCGATGAGAAAAATAAAGATTTAGAAGAGATAGAAGGGAAATAGACAGACAGACAGACAGCCCTCACAGCTTCCGCTGGAGCTCCGACCGTAAACACACGTCGGTGGCTGGTCGCGTACTGAAGTTTCCACTGCGAATCCGGCATCCGACTAGATCCCACACCGGGCATCCAACCCCACCGCCATATACTCTGTCTCTTTCTCTTCCACAAGCTTCCACCGGTGAAAACTACCCCCTCTATTTGAAACCTCCACCTACCACTCGAAACCGTCACCCATCATCCCCTGTATTCCATCGTCCTACCACTACCATCACACACTGTACTCTTTCTTTCTCTTTCTATTTCTATTTCTCTTTCTCTTTCTTTCAAATCTCTATATATCTTCCTTTATCTTTCTTTCGAGCCAGTATGTGACACCTAAACGAACACGTACGAGTAGGATACCACCGTATATTAATGAAGTGCTTTCTTCTTATGTCATGGGAGGAAAAAAAAATAAGGGGTAGAAAATCTTGTTGTGGCTAGTCGACAGACACGTTCGTTTCCTCTTATTTCTCTTATCAACGAAAATAAGATGAACAAGCCGTACGATGATTAACTCTTTTGCCATCATCATTTCTCGTACAAATCACAATCTATTCGAATTTTTATTCTTGATATTTTGTTAAAGATAGAATTTTTACTTATAGGTATACCTTTTGTCTATCTTTTCGATCGATTATTTCCATGTAATTTTTAAGGTAACCATCCCTATTATATCGTGTGATATCAAACGATTCGATTACGTCGATATCAGTTGATTAGCATGCTCCAAGTACCTAAAATACCTATTGACATCCTATATTAATTAGAGAAAATTTGACGTAGATATACGCAGCAATCAGTCGTAGCGATGATTGACCGAACGCATAACTGATTATAAATATTTAATCCGTCGTGTTGTTTATTATTAATACCGTACAACAAATAGCATTCGTTCGTATGTCAAACGCACGTGGATAATGAGATAATATAAATTTTCGTCAAAACGTACAACGTGTGGTGGTCATTCCGGTCGATTAAATTTCTTCTTCGCGTTAATGTATATTAAAACCGCTAATATTTATTAAAATATATATATTTACTCTCTATCTATCGGTTAGATTAAATATTTTTATTTATTGATATATATATATACGCGACTAATTAATATTTAAAATTCGTTCGACTTATGGATTGAAATAAAAATAAAAATTGATCGATTATACGAAAGAGAAACGATATAAATATCAAGGAAGATGTTTATTTTATTACTAACTTAACGTTCATTTAAACCGCAACTTAAACGTGTATGAGTTTCTGTCGGTAAATGCATCGAAAGCTACCAAGGTAGGGAGTTGATCTCGTGGTTGCCCGAGGTGGTTAACCCTCTCACATACACGAAACTCTTACGTGATTGTGTTAAAATGCTCTATGGCATCAGAATGCGAAATAATTAGTACCGGCAAATATCAACGTGTGTACTTTAAGTGCACTTGTTCAACATACTGCAATCTCTTCAAGACCTTTTGTCTTTTACCTTTAATTATATTGTTAGATATCTTGTCATGTTTTACGTCTCGCTTTACAATTATACTCTTACGTGCATGTATTTTTATACTACTACCAATTTATTATTTTATTTTAATTAACGAATGTTAATAATCCAATATATTTTTTTTCTTTTTTTTTTTTTTTCTATCAAGTAATTCCAACTATTGTGTGCAACAAACGTGTAATTCCATTTGAAATACATCGACGAGATAAATCCGATAACGTGTTATGATACAACTGGATGAGCTGCATATATATACGGTGTCCCAGAATACGTGGGAAATATTTTAGGATTAACTTTTAAAATAAAAACAATAAGAAAAATTCATATATATATATAAATAAATATTTTATATATTTGTATATTGGAATATTTTTCTTCATCACGTAAAGCTAATTAATTAAAAAAAGAAAATATATTCATCTACATTAATTGAAATAATACGTAAATTAACACGAAAAAATACAACAAGGTAAAAGCGTAAAATATTTGTCTACTCTAATAATTAATGAAGGATAGATGTTTGAAAAGCATTCATTGATTTTTTTCTTCAAATGTATTTATCTTGATTGTATCTTTCATCACTCTTCTGACATTTATAAAAATGTTAAATTATATATAAATATATTATTAATTATTATTTACAGAGCACTTATATATATATATATTTTAGTACTTATTACAATTTTTTTTACGTTTGCTCCTATACAAACGATTCTCTAATCTATGATTAATATGATATAATGATCTTTTATATTTAATATAAAAGAATAAATATAATCTCTTTCATTCTAAAGCTGGGATTAATTCTAAAACAATTCATCGAAAGACGGAGACCTTATTTACGATTCATTATAAATGCATCAATAATTCTGGCAGCATCATATATTCTTTGTGCGTGTAATTGATTTTATTCCAAGCTATTAGAAATACAATATTAATTATATATCCTCAGTTACTGGTAGCATCTCAAACTTCGAGTATCATGACATTATTGTACTATTCTCGACTTTGTTTAGATCCTAACTTTATATTTTGATCCATAAATAGTTTTTTAATCTTATGCTAAATTTATTAAGTGATTAATTCATAATTTATTCAGATTGTTATTAACTATAAAGATTTCTTGCAATCCCAGTTAAAACATTTTCATCCCTTAACTCCTTATACCAAAGCTTCAATTATTTTTATGTACTCATCGAATTATTGATGAAAATGATCCTTTTCTACTAACACTTTTCTCACCAAGTAAGATTAATCAACGATCAAATACGTTTTACGCATTTTGATACATATTTTTTAGTGCACGAATATATATTTTAATTAGATTAGCTGTATGTAGGTGTGTATCTATGTATCTGTGTTACAAGAAAAGTAACGTAAATTTATACACATATACGATGCAGATAGATGACACATATTTCTGATCTCATATAGCGTGTTTTGATTCTACGTATTAAACAAAAATTATGCATATATTAAAAATCTCTTTGTAACGTTAATAAAAGATTGTGGAAATTTAATTATTCCTATCGAATAATAGAGAATGTCCGCAACAAATTTCATTAACCGAAATCTAATCGACGTTTACGTATTGACCTGTAACTGTAGCCGTTTGATGATATCGTCGCCTTCCAGCGAAATCCTCGTTTTCTTCGTTCAATTGTGCAGAACAAACCTCCACACCTGGTGGTACAGGTGTTACAACGATTTGTTCGTAATCATAAACTTTTCTCCTATAACGAAGAAACATATTTACAAAATGCACAATTCGATTTCCAAATATTCGAAATATTACTAATTAATTACAAATAGTTCAATTACCCCATGAGTCTTAACAACGCAGTTTTTAACCATTTGAAGAATTGAAACTCGGCTGAAATTCCAGGCTTTACAGCTGGATTAGCATGACCTACATAGCTCCATACAAGAAAAACGACAACAATGTTTGCAATAGCATAGCCCCAATGAACCAGAAACATAATGAATAGTTTCACCAAACACTGTAAAATTCATTAAAGACTAATACATCATATTTTATAATTTATCTGACATGTATATTTGTTAATAGACTACTTACACCCAAAAGTGAAAACCATCTATTACATAAAGGACTATACCAATTCCCCAATTTATTATGTATATGAACTTTTCGTTCGACAGAAGTTGTACTGTTCTCTTCTAAACTCGGTGATGAATCCACAAATCCATTATTTTCAGAAATGCTGGAGCTTCTCTGTTATATATAAAACATTTCGTTTTTTATCTAGTTTATCATATGTATTTTTAATAAGCAAACATAGACTCACCAAATTCTTATGCCTTATTCTCTCAGGAAATAAACTATCTAAATCATTGTCTATTTCTGTTACAGAATTATTCCTACTAGCAGAACCATAATTGCGATCAAACGTTGGAGACTGCGTTCTAAATCTTTGTTCTCTCATATGTCGAATGTCAAAAGTTTGAGCAAGTGCAAAGTAAGCGTAATCCAGACACGCATATGTTAAAAGGAAGGGCATGGTTACGATAGGTGCAAGAGTATTGATCCTACCAGTAATGATAAAGGTCAATGTTACTGCAGCTACGACCAACATAGCATAAATAGGCACCTTATTAGGTCCTCTCTAAAAAATCATTTCTACAATTAATTTATTACTTATATAATTAAAATCTTGTAAAATATTATAGGAACATTTTACTTACTCCTCTTTGTAAACAACTTATTCCTGGAATAACATTTTGACTAGCAATAGACTGAAGTACACGAGGTGTACCATACATTGCACCTAAACAACTACTAAACGAAGACACATAAAGACCAGCCAGAAGAGGTACTGATAATGCAGAAACCTTTGACGCAATCATGAAATTTGTAAGAAGAGCATCTCTAGTACAAGTTGCTGCCAAGAATAGCGAGAAACAAAGATATAGTACTGTTCTGAAAGTTGATCCATCATATATATATTATATTTCATTTAATATTAATTATATATATATTATACTTTTCATTGTTAACAATTCTTACCCAGTTCCTAAAGCTGCCAATGTACCATGTGGTATATCAGTTGACGGATGCCTCAAATCACCACTCATATTAATACCAGCTAAGACACCGGTAACAGTTGGAAAAAAGACACCAAAAACCGTGAACCAACTATAGCCGCCTTGGTAATCAGGAAAAGTATTGTTTCGTAAATTTCCAGACAACCATCCTTCAAATCCAGCATCTGTTAATAAAATTAATTATATACATTATCTGTCAAATAGATATATACATCATAACTTAATAAATAATCTTACTAGGGTTTTCATGCGTGAAACTTCCAACCATAAAATCCATTCCGGCAAGAAGCAATATCAAAAGAAGTACAAACTGCAATTTAATAACCCACTTAACGCCTGCTACATTAATCACAGATAATAAAATAACAGCAGCACAAGCAAAACTTCTCTGTGCCCAAGCGGTATCCAAACCGAATAAACCTGCCATAGATTCACCAAAACCTAGAACGTTTAGAGCACAACCCACAGCCTGAAATAAAATTTGTGATAAATTCTATTTTATTTTTTAATAACTATTAAATAAACTATTTCCAACCTGTCCAAAACAGTACAGAAGACCAATGGATCCACCAAATCTTGATCCTAATACGTGAGATAACAAGAAATAGACTCCTCCACTTTCTACTCTACACCGTTCACATATACCCACTGCAGATAATACGGTTACTAGTGCAATACTAACTGCAAATATAATGCTCCATGAGATATAAGATAAAGATGTTTATATGCGTTACATTATCTTATTACTATTACCTGTAGAAAAAATGATCAATACTGCATTTAATGCTCCAGCTTGACCAACTATCCAACCAGATCTTAAAAATACAATAACTCCAAAAATATTGATAAGACAAGAGGTAAAAACACCATCCCAAGTACCAAATAATACCGGTTGCGATATGAAAAAGTTAGATTTCCACCATGGATCGGAACTCTGATAATACAAAATATTACAAAAATAAGATCTTGTATATATATATATATATATAAAATGTTATATTATTACAATAATTGTGTAAAATAATTATAAATCAAATACTCACATATTCTTGAGCAAACAATTCATTTGCTCCGGTTTGATACATTTCTGAACTAAATTCTTCATAACTTCCATTATTTCTTTGTGAATTTCTTTGCATTTCTGTATTATGTAAACCATATCTAGACCAGTCAACATTTCTTTCATCATTAGGATCTCTATTTGGAACTTGATCTTCGTTATTTGGTCCCATTGTTAATAATATTACAATTAATATAAATCCTTCAGTCACAAAATTCTCATTGAAATAAATCTAAGAAAAATATTTGCTCCACTTTCAAAAAAAGAAGAATCCTTTTTGAAAATAAATGTAAAAAGAGTTGCCTAATAAATTATAATGTATTAACTATTACACATTAAAGCTGCAATGCATTTGATGTATAGGTTAAATAAAATCTTTTTACAGTACATGTTTAATACATATCCAAATGAATAAATTTTATATAATTCAGTAAAATATAACGTAACACTTGACACTTTTCATACTATTAACACATCAAAACTTAAATATGTGTAAACGCTAGCAGCTTTTGTTATAGGTTAGGAAATATGTTTCACTAAAGACGTACAGTTTTCAATATTATTTTTATGCACAATAACATTTCGTAATATAATGCTCAAGAACTTCTTTTCTATATCAGTACTTTAAATCACTGCTATCAAATAAAAGATATCACGAAATGGTGACGTGTATTTCCAACGTAAAGCAATCATGCTGCTTTCTATAATAATCTACATTTGACTGTGGAGCAACTAACTACATTAGATTTCCATGCGCTATATTCAAAAATGAGCGCTGATATCACACTTGAAATATTTCCTAGCATTCGCATAATTGTTAATAATAACCCGTGATTATTTATTAATAACCACTGTAACCACTGAAATAAACGAATGAACTAGCAACTAACAGTACTTTCCCACATTTGCTCTTTAAAAATCACGAAGAATAAAAGATTATTCAATACACATATATATAAAAATGTGGAAAACAACGTTAATGCCAGAAAATAATACTGAGATGTTTGCTTGTAAACAAATTATTATCCAAATTATCATCAAAGTTAAAAGACTTACACTGGTCACCGAAGAACAAATTTTTCTTTTTAATTTTTTTGTAATAAATTATTATCATTTAGATTATCGACATTTTTTTATAGACTTGTTATATAAACATTAATAAATAATATTTAATAACTTGGAAAAATATTATTAAATGTATCTATCGCATACAATATATCTACTGTATGTATATATATTGTGAAAGGCATTTAAATGCCACCCTCGAATCAAAATTTTGACGTTTTTCTAAAATCCAATGGGAATCCAGATATTCCGGGGATTTAAACAGTGGTTTAAATCGTTCTCCTCCCGTCACAAAACTGAAACATTTGTAACAGGAGCACATGATGATAAAAGAGGTATTCGAGGTACAGAGTTTGCCGCTGAAAACAAGAGCGCTGATTGGTTGATAATAACCAATCAGCTCTTAATAGACGCCCAACTTAATAGTCATTRGTCAGTTATTAAACAATTAATTTAATACACTTCCAGACACAAATTGTAAACATTTAAGCACTCAAAATACTCCACAGACTTTAAAAAATAATATRATTTCATAAAAATATACAAAAAAGCTTCTGAAAATACTTTTTTATAGATGACCGTAATGACCTATTAACCTAGATGTTAATCACTCATTAAAAAATTAATTATATATACTTCTAGAAATAAATTGTATACTTTTAAGCACTCGGAATACTCTACRGACCCCAAAAAATAGTATGATATCATAAAAGTTTATAAAATATGCTTTAGAAATAATAATTTTCTTAAAAAACGTCGTGAT